AGGGTATGATACAGCAGATAGAGGGGAGAGAGGACAGCCCTGCCAAGTTTAGAATTTGCCACCATTATAATGCTATAATATTATTATCATTTACCGTGAAACCCCTTGAAATACGCCATCTCCGCCGGCACTATTCCCCAGATCCACGGGAAAAGGGTCCTAGGAAGTGGTGGCGTTTCCCCGACAGGGCATCTCTTGGTTGTCACTGGGGCCAGGGGATCGTTGGATAATCTAAAGATTCAGTTTGAAGCTCTGGTACGGTGGTTCATTGCCAAGCAAGAATTCATACCTTCTGATCTCGTTCTCCCCATAAACAACACCTTTTAGATGCAGCGGACTGCAGACAAGGGTCAGCTGGCTAGATTTGTTGGATCTCACCAATCGGCAATCACTATTCTCTTATCCTCTCAAGCGAAAACCCCTGGTAGGTTGACGGGCTGATTCCCGCTTATAGTCCAATGGCGGATTTCGAGAGTTTCCACGGCATTGCGCGAACACAGCAACGCCTAGATTCTTTGGCTTACTGTTCGCTACCCTTCCCTTTCGGTGTCCCTCCCCTCTTACTCATCGGCAGCCTTTAGTGCTTGTTGTGCATTACAAAAATCCTATGCGCATCTCAGGTCCGCTACAAGGCTCGGCGCAAAAATTACTAAGGCCCTCCCTGGTGTTGGCATTGATTTTAGGGGACCCACAGGGGCCACTCAGCTGTGATATGATAACAGCTCTTCAGCCAACTTGAGGCGTCGCGGAGGAACACAGTTCCGGAGGCAGTAGTTACCGGTATTTGGAAGGCGGAACATCCTACACTCGAGCGCAGTCGCGGAGCTGCGGGAGAGCACCTACTATTTGATCTGAGTAAGCTCGGTACCGACTTTGGCCCTTGACTAATCGATGACTCTAGCAAGGTGGGAACACGCGAGATCTCCACCCTATTGAACGCGGGACTGGGTCACTGCAACCAAAACCATGGTCCAGAGTACCCTGGCGGGACTCGGGAACAAAACCAGACGGGGTATTTTAGAACACCCGCGGTGCGTTAGGCTCGGGGTAATCTACACCTACCGGTAGTACCGTACTAAGGCCCACTCTCCAAGAGGATCTTATGACCGGCGGCCAATATAGAAGGCGCTTCACAAGATCTCGTGGAAAAATATGCCCAGTAACCCCTTGTGGCTTCTCTGATAATATTTCTGGGCTTCCGGCCGAATCATGTCAACAAAGATTCAAGCAGAGTACCGGCACAGATAATACGGCAAGCCTAGCGAGAAAGCTGGGGCAGTTCTTGGCGAAACAAGCACTTTCCCTAATGACCGCGGGAGGTGCGGCTGCCGGTCGGAAAGCTTAGATCGAGATTCAAACCAGAGTATCATATTCCGAGGAATGAATCAGAACCCATGGCCGAAATTTAGTAACGGGCACTCTAGCACTGGTACCGGTAGGCGTGGTCTTGATGAAAGGATGATAACAGATGATAGGGCTTGGAAAGGAGGACGGAAGCAAGGAAGCAAGGAAGGAAGAAAGGAAGAAAGAAAGAATCACACAAATGTTCAAGATTGAAGTCAGCCTCACGGAGCTAGTGAGCTTCTTGGTTCCTGGTGAAAACGAGTGAGGCGGTAGTTCAAAGAGAGTGGTTGAGAGTGGGTCAGATCAGCGTAGCCGGGATAACAGAGGCCGGCCGGCTCGCCGGAGAACATTAAATGGCCAACCCGGGGCAACATACGGTATGATATCATAAGCAAGGCGAGGAGGGGGAGGACGTCCTAAACCCGGAAAGACCGCCCTGTAATTTTACCGGGAATGATAGCCCTGTCCTAATCGTGGAGAATACCGTTACCAGAAAAGTCACTTTTTTTGATACATCGAGATAAAACATGCACAGTAGGGCTGACGCAAGGGTATCTCCCGCCCCAAAATCTACCAGGGGATGATATTTACCTGATTGCCAATAAAAGCTAGAGGAAAATATACACACTATCGTGCATTATAAGATCAAAGCACGTCTATGTTCCTTGAGGCCAAGACCCTACATTCGTACTGTGCTCTGATTTAAGATACCAAGAGTCAAGCCCTTTTTTGTTTGTTCCGCTAGTAGTGACAGGGCTCAACTGCCGGTAAGGGCAGGGTAATGGTGGTAATATCCCCAGACCTCCCAATTCCCGTCACCGACCAGAGGGGAGACGGTGGTTACCACCTTCAAAACGCAACATCAAAGTTAAATACTATGATTCCTGTCCGGCTCATTCATGCCACCTGCTTAACTTCACTTAGCTCGGGCTAGGCGGGGTCGTAATCATGAAACATCACTCTTGTAGCCTACTAGCCTCCTCAGTTCCCCTTCGTCCCACATCCATCCCTCCCCCCCCCTTGGCGCCACCTACAGTACGGGCCCGCCGTCTCGGCCAAAGGCGGTCGCGCTAAGATATGGTTGCCATAATCGGGCTGCTAGAAGCCGTCAAATCTGCTCCCTTGCTCTTGGCAGCCCCGGGACCTTGGGAAACGCCGCCGGAAGCTTCTTCTCTGCCCGCAGCCGAGTCGGAAATCTCTGTTGACTCTGTTTCCCTGTCCTGTAGTCTTCCTTGCTTCCTCCACTTCCTCCTGGATGGTATCATACCGGTAAGTATCATAACATCCGCTAGAGTCTTTCCTCTTGAATTCAGAAATTTAATACGAAATGGAACTAGTGATACTAGTAGAAAAAATCTCTGCTAGGGTGAAACTTACCTACCAACTGTCAATCAGGACCACTGAAACATGAGTGCCAGTGACTTTTCAATAATACTTAGAGTATCTCGTAATACTACGTACAACAATATGTAAGACTCTGGAGGGCGTGTTCCTCCAGCGATCTCTCTTCAACATCACCATCCACATAGCTACCCGATAGCCACTCGCCCTTTAACTCTACCCTATAGAACGGGTGTGTCGAGGTGATGTCCCGCATATTCGGCTACCGCAACTTGCAGCCACAGTACGGCACTTGCCACGTAAACAGCTGGAGCCAATAAAGGCACAAATCCTCCAGTGGACACTTCAACAGCTAGCGGAGGATAGTGGAGGACTTGTATGAAACGAAGTGGTGCGGTGCGACTTGTTCTGCGTGATGTTTTGTATTATCCGAATAAAGTTTATTGGTCTGAAGAAGTTACGCCAGGAGCACTCGGTTATAGCTTCAGGTAGGTGGAGGTGGGGTGCCGGAACATGGGGGCAGAGTAAGGTCATGCTTCACTTACTTCAGCTTGAATTTGAGGATTAGTAGCGAGCAGGCTTCATCCGGCAAGGAGTCTAGGCAGGAGTTATCAATTCAATTGGAGTAGGGAATTAAAAAACAAAATAGTAGCTAACAGCTAACGTATTTGACCTAGTTATGGGACACCCCCTAGTTATTGGACACTTTAAAAACTTGTACACAACATAAAGAATCATGAACCACAGCAGCAGTAGATGATTAATTTGGCAGCAACTGGGAAGAAAGAATATCAGCATAGGTTAGAGTATGTAATATAAAATTTAGATTATATTACATAAAACCAGAATTGTTATTGAGAAAAGTATAGAGTAAGGAAGATTTTATAATTGTACCAATCAGGAATTTTTTAAAAATTCACAAAAAATAGTAAAAATATTCTGTGACCTGGATTAATTAGACTAGATCTCTCCTCAAAGCTAGCAGGTAAAAGCATTGTAATCAGATATCTAGTAGAGTTAAGTCATTAGCTTGAATAAAGGTGATAATATTTCTATTTTAACAATATTGTACCATATAAGAAAACTTGAACCACAATAGCTGTAGAGGTTCAATTGAGCTACAACTTGAAATATTGAATATAGATATTATGTAAAATATACCATATGAGTATTGTTATCTAGAATGTAACCGGAGCTGGTACTCGGTTAGAGTTAGTTTGTTTTATGTTTTGTTTTAAGTATCGGTTGATACTTAGTTTGTTTTATGTTTTGTTTTAAGTATCGGTTGATACTTAGGTTGTTTTGTATTTTGTTTTAAGTATCGGTTGATACTTAGTTTGTTTTATGTTTTGTTTTAAGTATCGGTTGATACTTGGTTATTGTTATGTTTTGATTGAGTAAGAACATGAGTGAGAATTCATGATCGTACTCAAACACATGTACTTAAAAAGACCACCGTTCTCCACTCTGGAAACGGCAGACTTCGACAGATAGTATTCTAATATACTCGGTTGAACGGTTATCTCTATTCTCCTATTACACCACCGAAGCCTCCCTTAGCGAGCCCAGACTGTTAGCCTCCGGCAGGAAAACACTCGGCTCCTATTGTACACAGCAGCGTGACTAGCGCTCCGGCGTGAACACGTTACA